CCCTCCAGTTCCTCCCGGTGTCGACCTCGATCTCGCCGTCGTTCTGGCACCGCCTCACCTCGCTCAAGCTGCACCACCTCAAGCTCGACGACACGCCTTTGCCCCTCGTGGGACACTACGCCCGAGGTCGTATCATCCACGACAAGCGCACCGGCCAAGCCGTGCCCCTCCACGGCGCACTCGAGCTCGACGACGCCTCGTTCGCCGCCGACCATGTGGGGGACAGGTGCGCCCCCTCGACGTGGCTCCTGCCAGCGCCGTGTGCACCTCGAGCGCAGACTGACACTCTCTGCGACCACAGCACGTCCGCCACGCCCGGCTCCACCGACCGCTTCCAGCTCCACGGCCTCCTCCGCAACGTCAACACGCTCGACGACTTCAAGCGGCTCGACAAGGCCCAGCTCCTGAGCGACCTCGGCGACCAGGTGCGCCCCCTCTTACTATTCCGTCAGCGACGACGACAGCTGACCCCGCGCACCTCCAGATCTGGTCCATCGTCCGCGAGCCGTCCCGCGGCATCTCGCTCGCCGACCTCAACCCGTTCCTCCTCGTCACGTTCGCCGACCTCAAGAAGTACCGCTACTACTACTGGTGCGCCTTCCCCGCCCTGGCGCTCAAGCCGGGCTGGGAGGTCACGACCGGGTGGGCACCGTGCGACGACCCGGCGCCCGAGCAGGTACGTCCTCGCGCTCGCGCGCCCCCTTCCTCCTTCACCGCACTTATCCTGACCCTGTCTCGCACACAGCCTAGCGGGCAGATCCTCCTGTCTCGCGGCGACGGCGAGACGGCGCCGCTTGACAACTTTGCGACCTTCTGGGCCCGGACGCCGCCCGACCAGGTGCGCCGTCAGCTTTCTCTCCCTCGCCTCTGCCCTAGACGCCGACTCTGACCCACACGCCCCATCACAGCGTACCCTCATCTTTGACGACCCGTCCTCGCACCCGACCGCGCTCGGCTGGCCCGTTCGCAACGCCCTTACCTACCTCGCCCACGCCGACCCGCCCATCCGCCAGCTCAGCGTCGTCTCGCGCCGCGACAAGTCGTCGCTCTCGTGCGTCGTGCGGCTCGATGGTCCTGTACTCGACAGCGGCGCTGAGCGTCCGGCGGTCGTCGGGTGGGAGAAGAACGACAAGGGCAAACTCGGACCGAGGATGGCCGACCTCGCGCCGCTCATGGACCCGACTCGGTGCGTTCCTCTCGTCTTTTACGCGCTCTCCCTTCCTGTCTTCCTGTCTCGGCCACCGCAGAGTGCCCATGCTCATCCGCTGCCACAACCGCAGACTCGCCGACCAAGCCGTCGACCTGAACCTGCAGCTCATGCGCTGGCGCATCTTGCCCTCGCTCGACCTCGACAAGGTCAAGAACACGCGGTGCCTCCTTCTCGGCGCCGGAACGCTCGGGTGCTACGTAGCGAGGACGCTCATGGTGCGTCCCCTCTCCCCTCTCCCGTCCCTCGTCCTCCTTTCTCGCGTCGCCCAGGCCCTGACACTGAGTCTCTCTCGCAGGCTTGGGGCGTGCGCAAGATCTCGTTGGTCGACTCGTCGACCGTCTCGTTCTCGAACCCGGTGCGACAACCGTTGTTCGAGTTCCACGACTCGCTCGACGGTGGCAAGCCCAAGGCCGAGGCGGCAGCTGCGGCGCTCAAGCGCATCTACCCTGGCGTAGTGCGTCCCCTTTCTCTCTTATCCCCTGTCAAAGACGGCGCCAACGAGCTCTGCCTCGCCGTGCAGGACGCGACCGGCGTGTCGCTCTCGGTCCCGATGCCGGGCCACCCGATCCCGTCCACCTCGCTCGACCAGGTCCGCGCCGACTTTGACCAGCTCGACGAGCTCGTCGACGTGCACGACGTCGTCTACCTCCTCATGGACTCGAGGGAGAGCCGCTGGCTGCCGACCGTCATGGGTGCCGCCAAGGACAAGGTGCGGCTCGATTTTCTGCGGCGACTTCTGGCGGCCGATCCTGACCCTGTCTCTACTCCTGCAGCTCGTCATGAATGTCGCCCTCGGCTTCGACACGTTCCTCGCCATGCGCCATGGCCTCGCGCCCTCGCCAAACTCGCTTGCGCCCAACCCGCCGGCCGCGCCCGCCTCGACCAGCTCGCCCTTCCGCGGTCGCCTCGGCTGCTACTACTGCAACGACATAGTCGCACCCCAAGATGTGCGTCTCTCTCTCTCGCCTATGCTCCCCTGCGGCCGCCCAACTGACAGTCTCTCTCTCCCTCGTCACCTTCCCTCCCTCCTTGCCTTTCCTCCTCGCCGTCGACCTCGCCCCGCCTTCAGTCCCTGAGCGACCGCACCCTCGACCAGATGTGCACCGTCACGCGCCCTGGCATCGCCGCCATCGCGAGTGCCACCGCCGTCGAGCTCATGGTGTCCGTCCTGCAGCACCCGCTCGGGTCCGTCCTCTCTCGCGCCTCGTCACTCGCGCCTCGACCCCCAAACTGACATGGCCTCTCTCTCTCTCGCAGACCTCGCGCACCTTCCAACGTCCCCTTGTCGTCCAACGACGCCCCTGCGCCTCAAGAACCCGCCTCGCCGCTGGGCATCGTCCCGCACCAGATCCGAGGGTACCTCGCGCGGTTCGACAACCTCAAGATCACCGGTCAGGCGTACGACCGCTGCACCGGCTGCTCCGACACGGTGCGCCCATCTTTCTCTGCCTGTCCTGTCCTTGTCGGACTCGGTCGTGCGCGCGCTCGCTCGCACCCTCGACTGACTCTCCTCCTGTCCCGGGCGCGCAGATCCTCGAGGCGTACCGGTCCGACCCGTTCTCGCTCGTGCAGCGTGCGTGCGAGGACGCCAAGTACCTCGAGCGCGTGACCGGGCTGGACAAACTCGAGGAGGAGACCGAGGCGTTGCTCGCCGAGGGCGTCGAGTGGAGCGAGGAGGACGATTTCTGAGGCGGCCTTCGTTTGCTGTAGCTGTCGTTCAATGCCGTCGTTACATACTATCCTCTGCGTGCGCCCGTCTCGCTCTCGAGAAGCTGCAGCCGACGAACGCCTCGGAACGAAGTCGAGGAACTGGTCTGCCGCTCTCGCTCGCTCGCCCCTCTCTTCTCGCTCGAGATGGCGCAAGATGCTGGCAAGGGGGCAGAGCTGCCCTCTCTGCACGCGCTCAAGCTGTCGTCCGCGCCGCCGCGGCCGGCGTCGCCCTTGTGGGCCTCGTCATCAGCACCGCCTCCTCCTCCCCACCCCGACCTCGACCCGGCACCACGAGCGACCAGCGACGACCACCCTCAGCGACTACCCGAACCTTCTACATCCAAGCCGACCGCCAGTCGGCCATCCTCCCCTCCCCAGCATCCACCACCACCAGCCGACGCCGACTCGATCTCGTACCGCGCGTACCAGGGCGAGGAGGACCTCGAGGCCATCACCAAGCTCGTCGACGAGGAGCTCAGCGAGCCTTACAACCTGTACACCTACCGCTACTTCCTCGACGAGTGGTGAGCCTCTCCCTCTCCCTCTCCCTCTCCCTCTCGCTCGCGGGACGGCGGTTCCGGTTCGTCGCAGCGGCCTCAGCGCGCGCGCTTCGGGTACGACAAGACTGACTGTTGCACACACGCACGCAGGCCACACCTCTGCTTCTTTGTGCGCCCCATTCGTCGTCTCTCTTGCGACCCCACCTGACTCTCTCCACTCTCTTGCCGCCCTCGCGCAGGCCTGCTCAAAGGGAGAGCCTATTGGCGTCGTCATCTGCAAGCAGGAGCCGCATGCCAAGTCGTCGAGGTCGCTGCCTGTCGAGTCGGGCGTCGCAGGCGACGAGGAGCGAGGGCACGAGCAGGCTCGACGACCGCTCATGAGGGGTTACCTCGCCATGCTCAGCACGACCAAGGCCTTCCGAGGTCGAGGCGTCGGTGCGTCCCCTCTCGTCTCTCCTTCCTTCGAGCGAGGTTCAAGCGAGACGCCGACTGACCCTCTCGACGATGCAGCGACCCACCTTCTCCGCCTCTCCCTCTCGGTCATGCTCCGCCCACCTCCGTCCCTCGTCAACTCGCTCCCGCCAGATCATCCGTCCCGCCAACCCGTCGACGAGGTCGTCCTCGAGACCGAGGCCGACAACGCCGCCGCCCTCGCCTTCTACTCCAAGATGGGCTTTGTTCGCGAGAAGCGGCTGCACCGGTTTTACCTCAACGGCAAGGACGCGTACCGCCTCAGGCTGGACCTGAGCGTGTGCAGGGAGGATCGTGGCGGCGAGGCTGCGTCGTAGACAAGTTGTGCAACGAGACAGCCTCTTTCTCGCACTCGATATTTTGAGCTGTCCGACCTCGCGCAAGCCCGTCTCTTGCGAGCATTTTCTTCTCTCTGTACCTCATGGCTTCGGCGCACTGTACGAGAGAGCGCTTGGAATGATGTGAACGGAGCGAGGCGACTTTGCTGCGAGAGGAGAACGAGCTTTCGACAAGCTCTCGCTCGAACCACGACGACGACAGAGGGAAAGAGACTGCGCTAGGCGTTACAGGCAAGAACAGGATCGACGAGGACGCAGACAGAGAGAGGACGCTGTACAACCTACAACAAGAGCGAGCCCGGTCGACCGAGGAAGAAAAAGGGGGAGAAGGATCGACTCAAACGGCGATGCGGCGGACCAGGCGACGCTGCTGCAGGAACTGGAGGACGTCGGTGCGCTCGAGGACCGACAGGCAACGGTCGAAGGCGTGGTTGGTGAACCTGTCGACGGCAGGGCAAAGGACAGGTCAGAAAGGCCCGGGAAGAGAGGCGAAGGGGAGGACTCACCCTCGCTGGGTGACAAAGTAGTTGCGCAGGCTCGAGTACGGCAGGGTGCGGCCGACGCCGAGCTTGTTGCGCTGCCGCAGCTCCTTCTCGATCGACTCGACCTCCTCGCGCAGCTCCGAGTGGCTGATGCCCTCGAGGTTGCCGGCCCGGACGGCGTCCATGGTCGAGAACTTGAAGAGCCGGATCGCCTCGTCGACGTGCGCGTCGAGGACCTCGACCTTGAGCTCCATCTTGGCGAGCGACTCGGAGATGCGCACGATGGCCTCGAGCTGGCGGACCGTGATCGGGATCGACGACCGCTCGTTGTTGTCGCGCTCGACCTGCTGCACCTGCTTGCGCAAGGCGACAAAGTGGCTGCTGAGCTTTTGCGCAGCGTCGGTCGAGAGGCGTGGTGCGCGACGGCTGTGCGCGACGGGGCATGCGAGTCAGTCAGGGGCCCGAGGGAGGGAGGGTGGACGAGGGAGGAGAGCGGCAGGACGCACGCCTTGCAGTACGACACGTAGCGCTTCATCTTCTCGAGGTCGATCTCGCCGACGGTGCTCGAGTCGGTCGCGCGGTTCATGTGGATGTTCATGACGTGCTTGGCGATCGTCTGCAGGCGAGCGAGGCGAGAGGAGGAAAAGGTGGGGAGGGACGGCGACGATGGTCAGGACGACGGGTCGAAGAAGGAAGACAAAGAGACGGCGGGACGCACAGCGTCACGTTGCTCGTTGTGCTCGTCCTTGACGATGAAGATCATGTCGAAGCGCGACAGGATGGTCGTCTGAAAGTCGATGTTCTCGCCCGGGGTCTTCATGTCGTCGTACCGGCCAAAGACGGGGTTGGCGGCGGCGAGGACGCTCGTGCGCGAGTTGAGGATGGTCGTGATGCCGGCCTTGGCGATCGAGATCGTCTGCTGCTCCATGGCCTCGTGGATGGCGACGCGGTCCTCGTCGCGCATCTTGTCGAACTCGTCGATGCAGACGACGCCGCCGTCGGCGAGCACCATGGCGCCGCCCTCCAGGTAGAACTCGCGCGATTGCGGGTCGCGCTGAACCGAGGCCGTCAAACCGGCGGCCGACGAGCCCTTGCCCGACGTGTAGACGGCGATGGGCGACACCTTTTCGACGAACTTGAGCAGCTGCGACTTGGCCGTACCCGGGTCGCCGAGCATGAGGACGTTGATGTCGCCTCGCAGGCGCATGCCGTCGGGGAGGACCTTCTTCGAGCCGCCGAACAGCAGGCACGCGATCGCCTTCTTGATGTCTGCTCGGCGAGGACAGGGCCAAGGGTCAGGACTCGCTCGAGACGATGGCGAGAGCGACCGAGGGAGAGTGGGACGCACCGCCGTTGCCGAAGATGCTCGGCGCGATGCTCCTGGCAAACTTCTCGTAGATGTCGCTCTCCTTGCCCATCTTCTCAAACTCCTCCTCCTCCTCGGCGGTAAAGTTGCGGATCCCGCTCCCGCTCGCGCCTTCTCGGTCGATCTCGAGGCCGAGGACGCGCAGGTAGGGCGTGCGCAGGGCGACGGGCGTGTCGCGCTGTGGCAGGGGAAGGACCGAGTTAGCTCCTTGCCGGGCCTTGCCCGTGCAGCTCGAGAGGGCGGCGACGTGGACGCACTCGGCTCTTGCCCTGCTGGAACGTCGAGTAGATGCCCGTTGCGATGACGCGAGACCCGGGGACGACTTGGCCCGTGAGGTACCGGTCGCAGCTGAGGATGAGGTGCCGAGGCAGCTCGCCGACGGGGACCATGTCGGGCGCCTCCTGGAGCTTGATCGTCTGCTGGTCGACAAAGGTGCACTTGTCGTGCACGATGACGTACGGGTCGAGCGGGCAGTCCTTGGGCTCGCCGGGCGGTGCGGGACTGCGAGTGCGGCAGAGGGTCAGGTCCGGACGAAAGGGGGGGACGAGGCGCGAGAGAGGCGAGGGGACGCACGCAGCGCATTTGCGGGGCAGCTGGAAGCCCGAGAAGCCGCCTTGAACGTCCTGGGTCGTGACGTGGCGGCACGACTTGCACGTGAGGTGAAGGCGGATGGCGCGCGACGAGAGGACCGAGGCGCTGATGACAATGCCGGGAAGGCGAACGAGGCGCGAGATGTTGGTGGCCTGTGCGGCGCAAGAGTCAGTGACGGTCGGCGCGAGTGAAGGAGGGGGCGAGGACGCACGCCGAGTTCCCTGAACTGCATCAACCGACTGCCCGACTGAAGCTGGAGCTGGATCTCGGGGACGGCCTGCTGCTTCTCGATGCGCTCCTCGGGCGTGCTCGCCGTCGGGAACAGCAGGTTGCGCGCGACGTTGCGCAGGCCTATCTCGAACTGCGCGCGAGCGAGAGGGTCAGCATGCGAGAGGGGGACGAGGGGAGGGAAGGAGGGCGGGGGACGCACCAGCGGCAAGACCTCGCCCGGTTCGCTCCTGGCCCGGCTCGCAAGGTCCTCCCTCCAGCCGATGAGGTGGCCCATCTCGACCTCGAGCGTCCACTCCTTGCGGAGGCAGTTGGCGCGCAGGCGGTCGCGGTAGATGAACGACTCGTTCTCGCGGAACTCGGTGACGAACTGCTGGAAGTCGGCGATGGTCTGCGTGTTGGCCGAGTGCGTGTTGGTGGCATTGCTGCGTGCCGACAGGTCGCTGCCGTACACGGGCACCGAGAAGACGGACTGAGGCGCGGGGGAGGAGGGAAAGGGGAGGGACGAGGGAGGGCGAGGAGGGGACGCGGGTCAGCGAGGTATGGAGCAGTAGAGTGTGAAGAGTGTGCTCACCCCTCTGTCGAAGCCGTTCATGCTGCTAGAGGCGTGGGTGAGGAGAGTCGAGGAGGCGAGATGGAGAGAGGGCCGACGACGCGTCGCGGCGAGGAGAGAGCTCGACGCGCTCCGTCTCCACGCTCGCCCTCCAACGCTGTGCACCGGCTGCCATACTCGCCACGCTTCACAGCTAACCAGACGCGCCCACGCCAAACCGCAGCCCTCGGCGACGCCGCGTCGCCAACCTCCTTTCGCTCCCTCACCGACCTCTCGGCGCCTCTCGCACGTCAACCCGCACCGCTCGCTGCCACCTTTCGACTCGTGCGTTGCGATCCGCCGTAACCCTTTGCCCGCCACAACCCGATCGCGCGGCCCCTCGCGCGGTCACCCTCCCTCGGTGTCGTCCGGAGCGTGGGCGACCAAGGCGGTTCGCCTCTGGGCAGCTGGCTCCCTCGCCCCGCTTCGACGCTTGCACGCGGTCAGCAGCCCTCGTCTCGTGTGTGGCTTGAGGTGCTCGGCTTGCCACTGCCGCCCATGCCGCTCGCGGCGCGCGCCTTCTGCGCGCGGGTCGTCCTTGGCGGCGAGACGGGCGCTCCGCACGGCCCTGCGAGCGGCGAGACCTGCTCGAGCCCTCGCGACCTCGCTCAGCCACGCGGAGTGAGGAAGGCACCCGGCTCGGCGGCCTGCTACGCTCGGCTGGCTCTCGTCTCGGCGGGTTCCTCTGGCGGTCGGAGGCGCTTGCGCCTTGCGCCTGTAACCCTGCGCCTTTCGCTTGGCCGTCTTCACCTGTGCGTCGGCAACAGGACTCTGCCCCGGATCCCGCAGCTCGCGCAGAGCCGGACAAGCTCGCGTGCAGCCTCGGCGCTTGCTGCCATCTCTCGTGTTCGCTTTCCGCCGCACGTCGGTGGCTTGCGCCTCGCTCGCGCTTCGCTCTGTGGGCTCGAGAGAACGCTCCCAGTCGACGAGACCAAGCCCTGCAGCGAGCTGTGCCGAGCCGCTCGACACGTGTGAAAGCGGTCCGAGCGACGACGAGAACTCGCTTTTGCTTGGCCGTTCCCGCTTCTACGTCTTTGCACCTCGCGTCCGCAGACACATGCTCAACCGTCTTGTACAAAGAGGATCTGGTCGTCGAGCTGAGTAAGCGGTACGTAGCGGCGACCGGATCCCGGAGCTTTACCCCGCTCTCGATCCGCGACTCGAGCGAACGTCACTCGCCTCTCACGTCCTCGCTTCTCTCCCTTCTCACACTCCACCACAGCAGCACTCGACACGCTCAGCATGCTCGCCGCTCTCGCCCGTCCGACTGTCCGCCTCTGCCCGACCACCGCCTCGAGCCGCACCGCCGCCGCTCGCGCCCTGCACTCGACGCCAGCTCGTCACGCACCGGGCCTCTTCCAGGGTGGCGGGCAGAGCGTCGGCGAGGACGCGGCCGACACGTCGAGGAAGAACGCGGCCGTGCCCATGTTCATCGCGGCAGGAGCAGGAATCGCCGGGTGCGTTCCCCTCTTCCTCTCTCCTCCTCTCGTTCGTCGTGAGCGAGAGGTGCCCGTGCGGCGCAGACTGACGTTCTCCTCTCTCGTGCGTTCAGCTACATCGCCTACTCGCAAATGGTGCGTCCCGGCTCTCGTCCCTCAAGCGCATCAAGACGTCGACCCTGTCGATCGTCGCTCTCTCGCACAGGAGCTGACCTCTCACCGGTCGTGCCCCCTTTCCCCTTCGCGCAGAGCTCGCGCCAGCAGGCGCACGAGGAGAAGAAGGACGCCAAGCACGACCAGCAGACCGAGAACGCCGTGCGTCCCCCCTTCTCCCTCGCCCACTCTCGCCGCCGTCCCTCGTCGGTCGCCCGTCGACGCACCCGGACGTTCAACTGACAGCGATACACCTGTGCGCAGCCGGCCGGCTCCAAGCCCAAGGTCGCCATGCGCGGCTGAGCGCGGCGCGCCGTCCGTTCGTCGGTCCTCCCACTTGTACAGCTCGAGCTTGACAACATAGCAGTGAACCAGCCCGAGTCGAGCCTCTCGAGAGCATGCGAGCGAGAAGGGGGCAAGAGAGACCACGAGGGAAGCTGAACTCGCTGGATTCCAAGCGAAACCTCCTCGACGACGTCCACCGCGTCTGCTCCCAGCCGTGTCGCCGCCAACGAGCGACCGACGCAGAGTCCATCTAGAATCTAGAGGTCGAGCGCCTTGATGGCCATCTCCATGGCGCCCTCCTTGGTGACGTTGCCTGCGCGCGACAGAGACCGAGAGGCGGGTCAGTCACCGTGCACGAGCCTCTCGCCGACGACGAGCCTCGCACGGTCGCAGACGCGCACGAGGACGCAGAGGAGAGGCAAGAGAGAGTATCGGGACGCACCTCCGATAAATCCGGCGGCGTGCACAAAGACGCAGCCCGGGATGCCGGTCAGGGTCGAGAGGGCGTCGTCGCGGACGCCGCGCCACCTGCAGGGCCGGCAGAGACAGAGGGAGTCAGTGTACAGTTCAGTGTAGCGCTCCGGTGCGCCCTCACCGGCAAAGAGCGGGCTCGGGCAGGAAGGGGAAGCGGCCGTCGACTCACGCCTCGGGGAGCGCCTTGCGGCTGTCGAACGACTCGGGCGAGACGGCGACGGCCTGGATGCGCCATTTGGCGTCGGGCTTCTCGCTCTCCGGGTACAGGACGTAGAGCGGGAGCTCGTCCTTGGGGATCGAGAGCTCCTCCTCGAGGACGTGGAGGTGCTCCTGCGGGTGGACGAGGCGAGGGTGCGGCGCAAAGAGTCAGTTCTTGTACCCTGAGAACGCCGAGCGACTCGTCGAGAGAGAGCGAGAGACGCACCTTCCACGGGCAGAACTCGGTAAAGACGATGACCTTGCCGCTCGGGTGGACGTCCTTCCTCGCCTCGACGGCGCGCACGACAATGTCGCGCGCGGGGAGCCACGCCTTGTGGAGGTAGTCGAGGCGGGCGAGGAACTCGGAGCCGGTGAGCTCGGTCGCCTTGTTGAAGCCGTCGAGGAGGACGTCGTCGGTCGAGGGCTCGTTCCAGCGCGGGTTGAGGGCGCCGACGCGCGACGAGAGGTCGGTGCGCGAGCGGTACCGGGGCGGCTCGGTGGTGACGTACTGCGCGACGCCGTTGTCGATGCCGTCGAGCGCCTCGACAAAGTCGCCGTACATCTTGAGCCACAGCTGCTGAACGACCGGCGACTCGACGGGCTCGCCGAGGATGGTCGAGACGATCTCCTGGCCGTAGTGCCTGCGGGAGACGCGTAGAGTGAGTTGGAGAACGAGGAGTAGGGGCAGACGAGCGGGACGCACTTGTAGATGAGGCCGGCAGAGCTCAGCTTTGTGGTGAAGCCGTGGCCAAAGACCTCGTTGAAGCCGCGCTGGTGGTGGTCGAAGCGGCCGCGTGGCGGGTCGTACTCGCCGCTGACGTCAAACACGATGTCGGACTGGTCCCAGACGGCGGGGTCGCGCGAGCGGCGGAGCTCTGCGTCGGCAAAGCGGGGGAGCTGGCGGAGGAGGGCGTGGGCGAGGGCATCGTCGCAGTGGAAGGTGCCGGCGTGGGTGCACAGGACCTGGGCGGTGCGCTGCTTCTTGGTGGCGGCGAGATCGGACATGGTGGCTGCGAGGCGGCGGAACGAGGTGCGAGGTGCGAAGGTGCGGAGGCGGGCGAGGGTAGCCACGGCGGTGCGGATAGACGGGACTGGCTGCGGGTGGACGGTGCGGTCAGTGTTACGGTCCTTGTACAGCCCGCTGCGCAAGTCCTGGCCCTCGAGCAGGCAGGGAGCAAGGTCTAGGCGGACGAGCTGGAAGAAAAGGGAGCCGGGGAAGGAGACGGCGAGAAGGGGTGGGACTGACTCGAGGGTGCTTGTACGAGCTCTGTGGGAGCTCTGTGCGGTCGGCTGGCTGTGCACGAGGTGCGTGGGACGAAGCGAAGGACAATCCGCCGCGCTCTCATCTCGACTCGGGCGTGTCGCTCGACCCTCGCCTCGCCGCTTTCGCCAGCTACCGAGATTGGCATCCAAGCCCTACTCGAGCTACCGCAAGCCCGCCTGCGACTCGCGAGAACCGCCCACGGTCGACGACGCCGTCTCCCCACGCTCGCTCCACCCACTCGACCCCACGACCCGCTCAACATCGTCCAGGACCCGTCGAGCCGCGCTACGGACCGCTCGGCAAGGACGCGCGACGACGGCGCACGACCGGCAACTCGACCCGGCCGCCAGGGTCCGACACGGCCTCGCTCGTCATGGAGGCTCAGCAAGAGTGGCACTTCTCGTCGCCCGACCAGTTCTGGGGTCCGTCCTTCGCCTCCCTAGACCCGTCTGTCCTCGTCCTCGAACTGACCATGACGAGCCCGCGATCCGCCCGCAGCTGAACTCGACGACCTCATCAGCGTTCGCCCCGACTCGAGCCTCGACCAACTCGACTATGCGTTCCGCAACTACATCCTCTTTGCCTCTACGTTCATGGGCCCGTCCCCTGCACCTCCTCTCCTGGATGGGCAGCCGAGCTCACCCCTCCATCTTCCTCGACGCAGACCACTTTCTCGCCGCCCCGGGCGCCCTCGACCACGCCCTCCTGGCCCTCCTGTCGTCGCCCCTCTTTACCTCGCACGTCGACCGCATGACCGACAACATCATCACCTCGATCTCGCACCCCGAGGCCTCGTCGTCGACCCTCTTCATCTCGCTCATGCTCGTCCTCCACCTCGGCGAGGGCGCAAACCCGCTCACGACGGCCGGCGTGTGGGCCGACGCCCGCAAGCCCGGCGCAGGCGTCACCGTCGGCAGCTCCAAGGTGTATCGCTTCATGCGTCGACGGTGGAGAGAGGTCGTCCCCGTCCTCATGAACCGCGTCTGGCACGCCGGCGTCGTCCACGAGGTCCTCGAGGAGGGCGTCGCGCCCGACGCCGCCGCCAAGGGCGAGGCCCTCGTCGCCATGCCGGCCGACGGGTGGGAGGAGCGCGTCGGTACCGCAGCGACGGCCGTCCTGTACGAGCTGTGCCGCGTCCAGAAGCTCGGCCCCGAGGAACTCGGTCCGTCCCCCTTCCTCTCCTTCTTCCGGTCTTTGCAGTCGACCGCTCACTGACTCCTCCTTTTGCGTGCAGCCGACTTCTCGTTCGACTTTGTCTCGCGCCTGTTCTCGCTCGTCGAGCGCACGCGCGACGTCGAGGACGAAACGTTCAACTACTCGCTCATCAAGCTCCTCATTGCGCTCAACGAGCAGTTCATGATCTCGACCGTGCCCGCCGAGCGCGACAACGGCGCCGGAAAGCTCCCGCCGCCGATCCTGCCGACCGTCGTCAGCTCGGGCGGCAAGAAGCGCGAGCGCGGGCCCAACATGGTCCTCGAGGTGCTCAAGGAGAAGGAGCACGAGAGCAAGACGTTCGGCGAGAACATCATCTTTATCCTCAACCGAGCAGGTCCGTGCTTCTCTCTCTTCTCTGGCGGTGGCCCCCCCTTGCCCTCGAGCCGAGACGCCGACTTACCGCCCTCGCGACCTCTGCAGATGGCACGCCCGACTCGCTCTGCGTCTCGCTCCTCATCCTCAAGATCCTGTACCTCCTCTTTACGACGTCGGGCACGCAAGAGTACTTCTACACCAACGATCTCTGCGTCCTCGTCGACGTCTTTATCCGCGAGCTCTACAACCTCGACGAGGAGTCCGAGGGCGTGCGTCCCTCGCGTTCCTGCTGCCCGATCACCTTCCCAGAACAGCCCTGACGTCCTCGACCGTCGTCCGCAGCTCAAGCACACGTACCTGCGCGTCCTGCACCCGCTCCTCACCAATACCCAGCTCCGCCATCACCCGTACAAGCGGCCCGAGCTGCGCCGGTGCCTCGAGTCGCTCGTCGCGCAGACGTACTACCGCGCGTGCGACCCGACGACGCGCCGCCTCGTCGAGCGCAACCTGCGCGCGAGCTGGTGCCAGACGCTGCGGTCGGCCGACGCGGCGCTGTCGGGCCTGATCGGCGGGTCCAAGAGCGCGACGGGCAGCACGCTCAGCGTCGACGCCGTCGCGACGACGTGCGACGACGAGGGCGCCGTGGACCGGCCGCGGCGGCGCAAGAGCAAGGGCTCGCGCCGGCACGCGAGCGTCGACGACTCGGCCGTGTCGTACGGCGTGTCGCCGCCGAGCGTCGTCGCGCACGGCCATGACCTGCTCGGCCCGGTCGCTGAGCGGAGCGCGACCGGCGGCGTGCCCGACGTTGTGCGGCAGAGCTCGGCGACCGCCGAGTGGACCGCCGTGGAGGAGGACCGGCAGCGCAGCTGGACGCGCTCGCCCGAGGACGAGCACCCGCCGAGCGAGCTCCCGCTGCCGGACAAGGACGTCCCGGCCTCGTCGACGGTCATCTCGGCCGGCCACGACCTCCTGCACCCGATCGCGGTGCGGCATCACGGCTCGTCGTCGCCGACCCACCCTTTGCCCGCCACGACCGCTCCTACCCTCGTCACGCCGCGCCCGAGGTCGCAGTCCCTGCATGCCTTGCACGTCCTGCACGAGCCCGTCGCGTCGCATGGCCACTTCCGTCCCGCCCCACCTCCGCCGAGCGACTCGCCCGACCCGCACCGCCGCCGCGAGGGCTCGTTCTCGTCCCACTCGTCGCGCTCGTCCCTCCACTCGTCCCACCCGTCGCACCACTCGCACGAGCACCACGCGCACCTCCCGAGCTACCACCCTGCGCACCACCACTCGCACGCGCCCGCCGGCTCGTCGCCCATGTCGTCCTCGGCCACGGCCGCCGCTCGACGTCGTCGCCCGCCACCGCCGCCGTCGCATCACGCACACCAGCTCGATGGCGACGGCCCAGGTAGCGCGCAGACGAGCCGGCCGCAGACGCCGCACGACGCGCCGCCGTCGCCCGTCTCGGGGCCTGCGCACCTCGGCGCGAGCACGGGCACGAGGCGCAGGGCGCCGCCGCCGCCTGGTGCGGGTGGGAGGGGGAGCCCTCGAGCCGGTGGTCCAGGAGACCGGGAGGAGGACGTTCGGCGAGGCGTCGAGGCGCTCGCCGTTTCCTGAGCCCGACTTCCTCCTTCTCCCCTTTCCCCGTCTCCCTCCCTCCTCGATTCTCGCCCCCTTCCTTTCGTTGGCTCTCGCCCGTCGTACAGAGTCGTCTCATCGTTGTCGCCTTTCAATACACCGCATCTCGTCGTCGTCGTCCTTTCTTTCGAGAGCTTGAGCGAGGCGTCCGCCGCAGCGATGCTCCGCCGGCCAGGGACTGTCGCCTGAGAGAGTCACACAGCGAGCGAGAGCGCCTACGACCCTCGCCTTGGTGTTGAACACGGCCGAGTGTCGCCTTTTCGAGCGAGCGGTCCAGCCCCCGCGCCCTCTCGTCCTCATCGCTTCACCCGCTCCACGCTCAGATCAAGATGGCCCGCTCGAGTGTGTTCGTGCCAGGGACTGCAGCTGCGTGTGTCCTGGGCGCGACGTCGGCCCACGCCGCGTGGGGCAAGCGTGCGTGTTCCTTCTCCTCCCCACCTCGTCGTCCTCGCCGTCGTGCCCCTCGCCCCGCGCGCACAGTGGGCAGCCCGTCCTGACCCACGCCCTCCTCCCACAGAGAACCCGTCGCCCGTCGATGCCGCCGACCCTGCGCCCGCCGCACCTCCTCACCCGGAGGTCGCTCCCCTCTTCCCCGAGGTCGTCCCTGCCGTCGCTGGCGCAACGCCCCTCTCGGCCACCCCGCCCACTGCCGTCCCGACCCTGCCGCCACGCCTCGGCGTCGAGCACTCGCTCGGCCCCTTTCGCGTCCGCCCTGCCGAGCTCCGCCTCGAGGCCGCCATGCTCGCCGTCCTCGCCCTGTACGGCCTGTCGACCCTCGCCATCCGCCGCTCCAACTCGAGCCGCGCCTCGGCCTGGTTCCGCGCCCACGAGGAGGTCCTGCGCGCCGAGTTTGCCGGCGTCGGCCTCGGCGGCGACAAGCTGTTCGCGTCCGACGGCGGCGACGAGTTCAGCTCGTACGCGTCGGGCCGCCGCGCCGTCGAGTACATGTGGGCCAAGGTCAAGACGGGCGGCCAGGACGTCCTCGCGCGCCTGTACGACCTCGCGCGCGGCGTGTACGACTACAGCTACGACTCGGGCAAGGACAAGGTCGTGCGTCGCTCGTCCTCCTACCTACCGTCGCCTCGCACTCCTGGCCCACCCAGGGGCGAAGAGACGTTGAGTGGCTCGATGATTGACCACCTCGCTCGCCTGCAGACCCTTGACTTCAAGCTCGCGCTCCCCAAGGGCACCCCGGGCGCCAAGTTCTGCTTCGCCGCCGTGCGCCGCGAGGTGCTTCGCCAAGTCCGCGACTCGAGGTGGGACCTTGTGCGTCCTGTCGTCGCCCGCACCGTGCCTTTTCGGCCCGCACTGACCCCACCTCTTGCCCCTTGCCTGCAGCGCACCTTCACCAACGTCTCCGAGACGGCCGGCGTCTCGCCCTCGCTCATCGTCATGACCGAGTCGGGCGACGTCACCAACGCGCTCCTCAAGGACACCGACACGGGCCTGCTCGACGCGCTGCGCGAGGGCGCACCCGGCCTCGAGTACCTCGAGAGCATCATCGTCAGCGACATGCCCGCCGAGACGCCCGACGACGAGTGCGTCCTGCCCGCTTTCGTCGCACAGCGACCCTCGTTCGCGGTGCCGTTGCTGCCGACCAGGACCTGACACTCTTTGCCTCCCCTCTCCTCTCGCCGCAGGAACCCGTCTCTGCCCGACAACGACTTCCGCCTCGTCGTCACCCTGCGCCTCCCGCCGTCCTCGCAGGCGGCGGCTACCAAGGACTGGGTCACGCTCGCGTGCAACATCGCCGACGTCCTGTACACCAAGCAGAAGCTCGTTCCCGAGGTCGCCATCGGCAAGCTCGTACGTCCTCGCCGCAGTTCTCCTCTCGTACTTCCTCGCGCACGAGCATGTGACTCACACTCTCGCATCGACCGCCGCCGCTCGCAGAAGAAGCGCCGCGCCGACGCGCTGTACTCGCTTCAAAAGGCGCAGCGCGACGAGGCGGCGGCGCTCGCGCGCGAAGCCAAGGAGGACGCCGCGGCCCTCAAGCGCAAGCTCGACCGCGAGGCGGCCGAGGCCAAGCTCGCCAAGATGACGCCGGCCGAGCGCGTCGCGCACAAGCAGCGCGAGGCCGAGAAGGAGCGGAAGAAGTTGATGCAGAAGCAGGTCAAGCGGGCGCGCTAGAGCGGGTCGCTCGAGGGCTCGGTGCCGGTCGAAAGCCTTCCTCGAGGGTGCAATCTATCTCGCTGTCCGGTTCTCGTCTTTTCCGGTCGAGCTCGAGTCGTCCGAGGCGAGCGCGAGAGCGCTTCAAGCAGGCGAGGAGGAGAGGGTCGTTCCTCGTCCCGAGCGTTCGGGCGCACAAGTCCTCCAGCTGCATGAAGCTGTCGTACGCTGTTCGGGAGGCTGTCCACGGCAACTGCGGCGAGAGCAAGCGTCAAGCGAACCTCATCGCCTCGCCCACCTCTCCTCCTCGACCTCACCCGCTTCACCTCGTGACGGACCGCGCTCGCCTGCACGATGGACTCTGAGCTCTCGAGGATCGCGTCGCTCCCGCAGAAGGACAGGGTGCGCCCGACTTGTCCTCGTCCCTCCCCCACCTCGTCCTCTCGCCCCCCTCCCTCATCTCTCCCGGTGAGCTGACCACGCCCGTTCGTGCCGCCGCAGACCGCAGCCTACCTGTCGCTCCTCTCTACCACCCTCTCGTCCGCCGCCTCTCCCGCCAGCCTCGAGTCCGACCTCGCCCTGTGGCTCGGCACCGTCTCGTCGCCCGACTTTCCCCAAATCGTCGCGCGCCAGGTCCTCGATGGGTTCGTCGCGCAGCTCGCCGAGGTCAGCGACCGCGAGACGAGGAAAGGCCTGCTCAAGGGCGCACTCGAGCTTCTTCAGCCACGCGTGACGAGCTTCGAGGAGCAGGTGCGTTCCCTCTTGTTCAGTCCGCCACATCGTCCACGGCGTGTCACTGACTCGGACTGGCCATTGCGAGGACAGATCTGCACGTTGCGCGAGCAGTACGCCGACCTGCTCGAGCAAGACGAAGAGTTCCCCGAGGCGGCGCGCGTCCTGATTGGCATCCCGCTCGAGTCCGGCAGCCGGTGCGTCCTCGTCTCTCCTGGGTCGCGCACGCGACGTCGAGACGGAACTGACTCGCTCTCCCGCAGCCCGGACGAGTACAAGCTCAAGGTCTACGTCCGCATCGTGCGCCTGTTCCTCGAGGAGGAGGACTCGACCTCGGCCGACACGTACTTCAACCGCGCGTCGCTGCTGTCGGGCGCCGCCACGGACCTCGAGACGCAGCTCCAGTTCAAGCTGTGTCAAGCGCGCATGTTCGACTTTAGCCGCCGCTTCGCCGAGGCGAGCAGCAAGTACCACGAGCTGAGCTACGTCACCGCCCTCGCCGAGGACGAGCGCATGCACACCCTGTGCGTCCCTGCCTTCTCTCTGCGAGCACGCTCGCGACTGTGACTGACTCGTGTTGTCACTCGCCCGCAGCGACGTGGCCATCACCTGCGCCGTTCTCGCGCCGGCCGGCCCGATCCGGTCGAGGCTCCTCGCGTCGCTGTACCGCGACGAGCGCGCGGCCCAGTCGCCGCACTACTCGATCCTGAGCAAGATGTTTCTCGACCAGATGATCCGGCCGCACGAGGTCGAGCAGTTTGCGGCCGCGCTCGCGACGCACCAGCTCGCCAAGCTGCCGCCGACCATGGCCGTCGTGACGGCGCCCGACACGCCGGTCGAGACGGGCAAGAAGGGTCCCGAGACGGTGCTCGACCGCGCCATGATGGAGCACAACGTGCTCGCCGCGAGCCGCGTCTACACGAACGTGACGTTTGCCGGGCTCGGGCACTTGCTCGGCCTGCGCCCGAGTGCGGCCGAGGCCATGGCGCGCACCATGGTGCAGCAGCGCCGCCTGCGCGCCTCGATCGACCAGGTCGACGGCCTCATCGTGTTTGACGCCGACGCCGACCACGCGGCGGGCGCGGCGGCCGAGGGCGCCATGTCGAACGTGGCGGCGCAGGCTGCGGCGCGCGAGGACGGGTCGGGCGCAGACGGTGCGGGCGCCGAGGGCGAGAGCGCGGCCCCGGCGACGCGCAGGTGGGACGCGCAGATCCGTCAGGCGCTGCAGCTCGCCGAGGGAGTCGCGGCGAGGTGCGAGGCGCTCCTCGCTGAGGCGGCGACGGGTACCGCTCCTGTCGCCGCTTCTGCCTGAGCCGCCTCCTCGTCTCGTCCTCCACGCCGTCGTCGTCGCCATGGTCGTCGTGCGCCTGTAGCATGTACTGTCTCGCTCTCTCGCAAGCCCGATACCCCCTCTTCCCCTCGTCGTCGTCGTCGCCTCTGTCCTTTCCCTCTCGCTTTCCCCTCTCGCAACGTCGCACAGTCCCGCTTTCGGTTTCTCGTCGTGTGCTCTCGAGGCGAGAGAGTGTGTGCTCGGGCGGCGAGCATTCAGCGTCGAGGAGCCGGGCTCCGAGCGAGTGCTCGAGCGCCGGTACTTGCTCTCGGCGGCGCGTGGGAAAGTGAGGGGGCTCGGCGCCGCGGTCGCTGTCGTCAAAGGGGAGACAAAGGAAGCGGCGAGGGTTCGAGGTATGCGCATACAGAGAGCTGCACAGGGCTGCGAATGGGCGAGGGCCGCGCCCGTCGCTCGCTGCTCCCTCCCCCGCCCTCTCGCTCCCCCTTCCCTCCTCCCTCCCTCTCTCACTCGACCCACCGCCTCCTGAGCCGCGGGCTCCTCGCCAACCTCGTCCGATCTCGCCTGTCCCGCCTGCGCACCCGTCCATCACGCCCCTCGCCTCGTCGCCCGCCCGCATGCAGTCGCTCTCCCCCGCCGGCTCCCCCGCCCAGCCCGCAGCCCCGAGTCGCACCACGGCCAAGCGGCGCCTGTCGGACGCGCCCGCCTTTGGCGACTACGACCACGGGTACGACCACGACGACCACGACGACGGCGACGACGACCAGGGCGAGCTCCCTGCTGCCCGCTCCAAGCGGTCGCGGCCCGGGCAGTTGAATGGCGGCGCACTTGGAGCCGACATGATCGTCCACGGCGCACAGCACCCACCGGCCCAGTCGCACAAGGCCCTCTCGCCCGCCGAGAAGGAGCAGCGCAGGGTCGCCCGCATGATCCGCAACCGCAGTGCGTCCCCCCTCCCCCTCCCCTCTCTCGGGCGTATCTCCGTCCACCTCGCTCACCTGCACCGCCTCGTTTCCCCTCGCAGACGCCGCGCAGGCCTCGCGCGACCGCAAGAAGGAGCACACGGCCTTCCTCGAACGGCGCTGCTTCGAGCTCGAGAACCTGTTGCGCCTCAACGGCGTCGCCGTCCCCCAGACGTTCGCTGCACCGCCCCCGATCGTCGCCCCGGCCACCTCGGGCTCGTCGTCGTCGGCATCGTCGGCGTCGCACCAACAGCACGTCAAGGGCGCGCCGCCGAGGTCGCAACGCGCGTTCAGCGTCCTGTCGGACGACAACCAGGGCCGCATCGCCGACCTCGAGGACGACGATGACCAGCTGCGCGCCCAGCTCGACCACGAGCAGCGCGAGACGGCCCAGCTCCGCGCCCGTCTCGACGACGCCGACGCCAAGCTCGCCCGCCTCGCCCACTTTGCGCCCGACGCCCCCTTCTCGTCCCCCTTCTCCGGCACGACGACCCCGCTCCCCGTCGGCTTCGAGCCCACGTTCGCGTTCGACACGCCCAACCTGTGCCCGCTCCCGCAACCCGAGGAGCGCGCCTACGTCGAGGAGCGAGAGCGGCAGCGCCGCCTCGCGTCGGCCGGCCCGACCTCGACCTCGACCACGAGCACCCCCAAGACGACCTCGACCACCCTCCGCCGCACCTCGGTGTCCCCCTCCTCCACCTCCCCCTCCTCCTCCTCGACGACGACCGCCGGCGCCCCGAAAGGTGACGCACGCACGACACAGACGACGGGCAGCTCTCGCCTCGTAGCACGCGAGGTCGACCTATCCCTGCAGCGGAAGCTGTCCCTGACCCTGTGTCGTCGGGCCCCTCGATCCCTTCTCCCGGCGTCACCTCGGCCTCGGCCGCAACCTCGTCCTCTTCTTCGTCGTCGTCGTCGTCGTACGCCGTGTCGCTCGTCGACGGCGACATCGCCTCGACGCCGCCGGCCAACGAGTCGTACCTCGAGCTCGACGACCGCGTCGACGTGTCGCCCGTCTGGTCCGACTGGGCCAAGGGCGCCAAGCTCCCGCCGCTCCCGCCTCTCGACGGCGGCGCCAACGGCCTCGAGCTGTGCGACGACGGCGCCGACGAGCTCATGAAGCCCGTCTTCCACCACGACGGCGCCGAGGAGTCGGCCTTGGCGTTCCTCGACCTGAGCTTCCTCCAGGACGGCCCGGTCACGGCGTCGTGCTGAGAGACGAGTTCTCGACGACGACTCGGTGCGTCCACTCGCTCTCTCTCTCTCTCTCTTTCTCCTCGTCGTCGCCCGGGACCTGACTCTTCGTCATCTTTGCGCAGTCCCCGACACCAACGACCTTCGTCTCACCTCCTCCGCCCTTCCTCCTCGTCCTCATCCCCCTACTCGCTCCCTCGCCTACCATGACGACCTGTCGCCTTCTCGCCCTTCTCGCGAGCGCGACACGCACCCGCACACGCCCCGACCCCGTCACCCTCCAGCACCTCCCGATCCCTCCGCACATGCTCTCCCAGGACGAGGAGCACGCACGACCCACGACCGAGAACCTCTCGCGAGGCGAGACGAGACGAGACGAGACTACTCGAGACCGAGTACGCACGACGCCCACGCACGCTCGTCGGCAGCCCCACCACCACCCTCTCTTCCCGCCTCTTTTCCCCCTTCCCTGCACGCGCATCCCTCCCTGTCCTCGTCCGCACTCGTCGCTCCCACCCGCTTCCTCCGTCTCTCCCTGCCGCCAGTCCACCTGTCGAGCCTTGCTCCGCCCTCGGGCGTCCGAGCGGTTCTTCTGGGCTTTGCGCGTGCGGGTTGAGCGAGCGCGGGACCGGGAGCTTCGAGGCTTGCGGCGTTGGCGGGCAGGTGATCGATGCTGTGGCTGGGCGACCGAGCGCAGGGTCGAGGTGTGCGGGCTCGTCAGCGGCGTCCACCTCTTCCTTCGGGTCGAGGTGCGGGCGTCACCTGCGGCGCGCTCTCTCTCGCCGTCTCTCTCTCGTTCTCTCTCTCCCCCTCTCGGTCCTCTGGGTCTGTGTCGTCGCTCTCTCTCTCTCTCCCGGTCTGATGAGCGTGCGGTCGGTGGTCGGCAGGAGCGCCTCGAGCGCGCTCGAGGGTCTTTCGGCGGTCGACGTCGTCGTGTCGGTGCGGCGGGCCTCGGTCGGTCGGCGAGTCGAGCCGAGTCGGGTGGGTGGGACGGGGCGGCAGGAGCGACGAGCACGAGATGGCGGGTACGGTGGATCCCAGGTGGACCTCGTCGTCGTCCTCGAACCCTCTCTTCGCGTCGTCGATGGAGCCGGTCTCTCTCGCCTCTTCCCCTTTTCTCCCTCCCTCCCTCTCCCTCTCTCCGTCCCTTTCGTCGTCGTCGTCGTTTCACGTTCCTCGCAACCCCCCTCGCATTCAGTTCCCTCCTCGTCGTTCCTCGCACTCTCTTTCTCTCCTCTGATAGACAATCACGCTCTCCAGCAAACGCCGTCGTTCAGTTTAACTCGTCGTCGTCGTCTTCCAGCTTCGCAGCCCGTCCTCCGCTTCCGCGAGAGTTTGCCCTCGAAAGTGCACAAGTCGAAAAAGAACAAGCGCCTCCCCTTGGGCGTCGGCGTTCGGGCGCGCTCATTCTTGACGCTCCGTCCGGTTCGGCCACCTTGCTCGTCGTCCTCCTCTCACTCGCCCTCGCTCGTCCAGCTCCGCCATTGTCATGGGCGTCCTGCACCTTCCTTCGCCCTCGACCGTCGCCGTCGGCGCCGGCGTGTGGGCCCTGCTCAGCTCGACCGGCCTGACCCCGTCGCTCCTCAAGAAGTTCATCGCCGTCCTCCTCGTCCTCAACTGGAAGAACGCGCCGTTCGCGTGGCACCTGCGTGCGTCCTCGTCTTCTCTCTGTCCCCTGCCCGGGTCGCGTCCCGCCTCACGCAGAGCCTCGAGCGCTGACCCTCGCTTTCCGCGCGCGCAGAGGTGTGGAAGACGGTGCCCGAGTGGCACTGGCGGTCGTGGACCCGTGGGGGCGAGGAGAAGGCGCTCGCCGTCGCTCGGGACCCGTTCGCCGTCAAGAGCATCACCAAGGGCCGGGTCACGCTCGGCGACGCCGACTACAACATGCAGTGCGTCCCCGCTCGCCTTTCCTCTTCCCTCCCATGCACCGAGCTGAAGCCTCTCCTTCCACCTGCGCAGCATGTCCAACTCGACCTACGCCCACGTGTCCGACGCGGCTCGGTTTCGCATGTGCCTCGAACTTATCGGCCCAGCGTTCGCGTCGGGCGTGTGGTCGCCTCTCGGCGGCACGTCGTTCTCGTTCTTCAAGGAGGTGCCGCTTGGTGCGGCGTACGAGATCGAGTCGAGCATCCTCTCGTGGGACGACAAGTGGGTGCGTCCTGCCACCTCTCTTTCTCAGCCCCCCCTCTCCCTCCCTCGCCGACCGAAGCTGACCTCTCTCGCCCGCCGTCCTGCAGATGTACTGCACGTCGCGGTTCACGATGGCACCCAAGCGCGGCGAGAAGGAGCGCCAGCTGTGCTGCGTCGCCCTGTTCCGCCTGTGCTTCAAGCTGCGCGGCTCGCGCCTGACGATCCCGCCGGCGCGCGTGCTGTCGTTCAGCGGCCTCGGGTCGCACGAGGGCGACCGCGCCAACTGGGAGCGCACGCTCAAGCTGCGCGCGGCGGGCCCCAAGGTGGTGCGCACGTGGCTCGAGTACGGCGGCGCGGTCGCGGCCCGGCGCCAGGGCAAGTGGCCAGCCGACAAGGAGCTGCCGACCATCCCCGAGGGGTGGACGCACGACGAGTGGGAGCGCGACGGGCTCGACGGCGTCGAGGCGCGCAGGGTCGACAAGCTCGTCGTCGCCAAGCGGTTCGGCGACACCGAGTCGTGGAGGGACCTATAGAGACTCGAGGTGCGTCCGCTCTCCCTTTCCCTCTCCTTCTTCCTTGCGGCGACTGACTCGATCCTCGCACAGACTCGACGATGCACATAGACTAGAGCTGTAGCCGCACGAGCGAGCTGCCATATCACGCCGTTGCCTCGACCGCCTTGGCTCGCGCGTTCGTCCTCGCTCCTCGTTCCACTTCGCGCGCCGTCTCTGTTGGCCCGGCTCGCCGCGAGGACAGATGCGCTCGTTCGCGTCGTCCCTCGCTGCGACTGTAGCGCCACTGTCGTCGCACCAAGCGCTCGAGGGAGAGAGAAAGAGAGGCAGAGAAAGCTCGCCAAAGGCCACTGCTCTCGGGTGAGGAAAGCCCACCAGCCAGTCGTACGTGCACCAGGCGCGTCGAAAGCTCAGCAGGTGCTCGGTGCGGCGAGCGAAGAGAGAGCGAGGCGAGCCTGACTTCATCAGCGCGAGCGTGCTTCCACCTCGACTCCTCGCCCCTCTCGCCGCTGAGCTGCCCCGCCGAGCTCCCGCGCCGGCCTGTGTACCTTCATTCTCGACGACCATGGCGCCGGCGACCGGCCTCGACGACAACCCGTTCCTCTCGCTCGGCACCGTCGCCCTCTCTCCCCCACATCGCCACCTCTCGCCAGCCTACAGCAGCCTCGTCACCTCGCCCAGCTGGCTCGCCCGCTACGACATCCTCCAGCACCTCGGCGACCCGCCGGGACCGGGCGCAGGAGGCGGCACCTTTGCGGGCGGCGGCCACCGCGTCGTGCGCGAGGCGTACGGCTCGACTGGCTGCGTCAACGCCATGGCCTGGGAGGAAGGCGGCAACCAGGCAAGGCTCGCAACCGCAGGAGACGACACCAAGTGCGCCCCACTCCCCTCCCTCTCCTCCTCCCCCTGCCCACCAAGCTGACCTCTCCTCCCTCCGCCCTCTCCCTCTTCTGCAGGATCTGCATCTGGTCGCCGGGCCTCGACACGCCGCACAACTCGCAAAACGGCCCCGTCATTTCGCCCGCACCGGGCTACGGCCTCGCCGAGACGATCGCGACCGGCCACCGCGGCAACGTGTTCTCGCTCAAGTGGGCCCCCAACCTCGCCTCGCGCCTCATCAGCTGCGCCGCCGACGCCCAAGTGCGCGTGTACGACCTGTCGTCGACGACCAACCCGCGCCTCAACCCGTCGACCGTCACGCCACCGCCCGACTCGCCGCACCAGCCCTGGGTCCACCACGAGCCGTCGACGGCGTGCACGACCGTCCTGCGGTGCCACACCGACCGCGTCAAGCGCATCGCGACCGAGGCCTCGTCCGACGTCTTCCTCACTTGCGCCGAGGACGGCACCGTCAGGTGCGCCCCCTCTCCCTTCCGTCCCCTGCGCACCCGACCTGACCCGTCTTGCTCCCTCTCCTCGACACGCGCAGGCAGCACGACCTCCGCACGCACCACGTCTGCCGCCGCAACCGCTTCGACAACGACCCGGGCGACTCGACGTGCCCGCCGCCGCTCGTGTCGTACGGCCCGGGCCTGTCGCTCTACTCGCTCACGATCAGCAAGATGCGCCCGCACCTGTTCGTCGTCGCCGGCACGTCGCCCTTTGCCTACCTTCGTGCGTCGCCATGTCCTCTCCCTGTCTCTCCTCCTCCCCTCGAGCCGAGCTTTGACGACCCTCTCGCCGCAGACGACCGACGCATGGTCGGCCGCACGATGCAGCGCGACTGGCACCTTGCTCCCTCGTCCCTCTCGCCCTCGTCGTCCCTGACGCAGTGCGTCCGCCGCTTCGGCCTCCCTGACGACCCGGACCCGTACGCCCACATCGTCGCCGCCAAGCTGTCGCCGACCCGCCCGAGGGACCTCCTCGTCAGCTACTCGGCCAAGGGCATCTACCTGTTCGACACGGACGCCGACACGGTCGAGGAGCTCGAGCTCGCCGACGAGAAGGAGGAGCGCAAGGGCATCGGGCGCGAGCGCGAGCGCGAGGAGGACGAGTCGGACTACGAGTCGGACGACGAGGTCTTTGGCGTCGAGGGAGGCGTCCGACCCGCTGCCGTCGAGCGGCCGGCGAAGCGCACGAGGGATACGACGGCGCCGCAGACGCTCGCAGCGCCGTCGTCGCCGACCGTCGGGCCGTCGCAGCCGCCGAAGCGGGCGCGGGAGGAGGTTGAGGGGCAGGGCCCGGCGGCGGTCGGCGGGTCGATCGGCTCCCGGGACGCAGAGTCGGAGGGAGAGGTGGACGAGGGCCCGGACGAGCTGAGCGAGGGGGAGCAGGCGTCGACCGACGAGGACGGCTGGGCGTTGGAAGGCGACGATGACGAGCCGGCCGACGACCCGTACGCCGGCGAGCCGATGTACCATCCTGAAGCACCGCTCGTCGGGCCCGTCAAGCACTACACCGGCCTGGCCAACACGCAGGTGCGCCGTCTTCCTCCTTCCCTTTCTCCTCTGCCACTTTGTCCGACTACCTTACCTACGTCTCTCCTCGCCTCGCAGACGGTCAAGGACGTCAACTTCCTCACGCCCGATCTCGTCATCTCTGGCTCGGACGACGGCAACTTCTTCATCTGGGACCGCGAGTCCGAGGAGATCAAGGCCATCTACAAGGGCGACGACGACGTCCGTCCTCTCTTCCTCTTGCCTTCCTCTCTTCTCTCGCACTGTCTCTGACGCCTCGGTCGCCTCGAGCAGGTCGTCAACGTCATGCAGCCGCATCCTCGCCTTCCGCTCGTCGCCATCTCGGGCATCGACTCGACGCCCAAGCTCTTCGGCCCCACGACCGACGCCGCAGCCGCGTCACGCGCCAACCTCGTCCGCGACGTCGAGCGCATCAAGCGTCGGAACGCCTCGGGCGAGACCGACCGCCGTTCGCGCCTGGGTATGGGCGGGCTCGGCGGCATCACGGTGCGCTCGAACCCCTCTTTCTCTCTCGCCGTCCTCCTCGCCCCCTTTGCCTCGGCGGGCACCCACTGACGACGATTTCGTGCGTCTACAGCGGGACGAGCTCCTCAATCTGCTCTTTGCGCGCGGTGCGGCGGCCTTTGACGACGGGCAGGACGAGTCGGTCGAGGCGAGAGAAGGGGAGGGAGGAGAAGGAGGAGGCGTCCCGCGCCCTCGCCGTGCCGTGCGTCTCGTCGTGCGCGGTGACGGGGCCGAGGGGGAGGACGCTCCTGTCGAGTGCACTGTCAGCTGAGGACGCTGGCCTCGTTCGACTCGGGTTCGTGTGCATGATCTTCTGTCGCGTTTGTCCTCCTTTCGCATCTGTACCCACCTCGCACCTTGCAAACGCTTTCCCTCTCGCGCTCACTCGGTACTCGAGAGCTGCGCGACCCAAGTAGCGAGCAGAGCCAGCAGGAAAGACAAAAAGGCGAAAGCGGCGAAGGCGGGCGAGGCTCGACTACGTCGACTCGAGACCAGCCCTCGCTCGCTCGTGCACTTGCTTAGGCCTCTGCTCGGGCTATGTGTCATTTCCGAGCGTTCAAAGCCAGTAGCGTAGCGGCGGCGTGACACGTCTCGCTCGACCTGGCTCGCGACCTCCTCAACTTCAGCTTTCTCGTCGGGTCTGACATGCGGACGGGCTCATCGAGCCCTACTCTCCTCAAAGAACGTTCGCGAGCATGCAAAGAGCACGTTTGGCCTGTCAGGCAGAACGCAGGATCCGCCTCGCCGTCGGGCGCAACCGTTGCGAGGCGCGTCGAACTCGGAAAAAGGTCGCGCTTGAGCTCGCAGTTCTGCTCTTCTCGGGTCCGCTTTGCTCTCGAGCGACCTACCGAGACGTGTGATCGAGGATGGAGCCGAGTCGAGGACCCTCTCGCAAGGGCGCGCTCACAACTCTGCGCTCCTCTGCAAAAAGACGCAGCACGCATCGGGTCACTCGCATCCGCCCTCCTCCTCCTCGTCTCACTCCCCGCTTGCACTCGGGAGGGTCACGGGCGACTCGAGCTATTTCTACTGCATGCCTGAGCGCAAAGGCGCGCCGTAAGTGCGACGAGCCGAGGCGAGAGAGCGAGCGAAAGCGAAACGAGGAGCGCGCGCGCGCCACGTCGACCCGCCTCCTCGCGACTTGTACCCGCTCACGCATCGCCGAGTGTGTGTCCCGCCTACTCTTAGACCCTCAGATACCCATGCGAGTAGAACGGCGAACGCGGCGAGCGTGCAGAGGGCGCTATGCTCGAAAATCCGTGCGCTCGAGCGTGCGTTTCGAACCAGACTGGCTTTGCTCGATCGCGTCAAACAGCTCTCGCGCCGCTCACGGTCGCTCGAGCCACGTTGAATTGCAGCCGAGATGCGCGAGACACCGTCTGCTATGGCCTACGAGCGGAGCGTCCCGCCAGAGCGAGCTCGCGCTCACGACTCTGCGCTCGAGGAGGACGACGAGGAGAAGGTCGCGCTCGAGCTGCGTCTCGCCCGCATTGCCTGCGACAGATGCGTCTCGCCACGATTATTTTGAGCGAGTGCCGCCCGAGTCTTCCAGTGCGGGCGCCGAGCGAGAGCGACTCGGAGAGCGAGAGCGAGAGCAGCGGCGTGCCCTCGCGACACGGACTCGCGTGTCGACGTCGGCCGGCATGCTCGCCTCTCGTGGATTGGATCCTGCACCCCTTGAATTGCATGGACGCTCGTGCTTCTGTGCACCCATGGGACGGGAGCGCCGAACGACGAGGAGAACTTTCGCAGCCGAAAAGCGAGTCTTTCCTTGCTCTCCTCCTCGGTCGCTGGTGCGGCTCTCGCAAAGGACGGGATCGTCAAGCAGACGACTCGATCGGTCGACTGAGCGTCGCGCTACGAACGAGGAGAATGGTCCGATCCGCTGAGGAGCGACAACTTCTCTCCTGCCTTCTTGCTCGAGCGTCCGAGTCGCGGCGCGCAAAGCTAGAGAAAACGGCCGAAATAAAGCGAGCCTAGCTGAAGCTGAAGAAAGCTGCTCGTGCCCTCGAAATGTGCGCCCTCGTCGGCGGAAGGTCAGCCCGCGGCTCGTCCAGCGCACGTTCCTCCTCGGAATCCCCGTCCGTCGTTTCGCGTTCTCTGCAGGTCCCGTCTGAACTTTGCGTGGCCGTTCTTCTGCACGACCGTGTCGTCCTCATTCCTCTGCGTGCTCTCGAGCCGACCCGGGCCGAGGAGAGGACGAGGGCGAGAAGGAAGCGAACGTCGAGAAAGTGCGCTCTCTAGCGGGCGCCACTCTTTCCGCCGACTTGCAGCCACTTGAAGGCACACTCTCGCTCGCAGGCATACTCTCGACGGCCTAGACACTTTTTGATCGAGGTATCCTGCACAGGCGAGAGGAGAGAAACGAGAGAGGAGAGGGAAAGAGAGAGAGGAGGGAGGGAGGACGCAGGGGGTACAAGCTACAAGAGGATGGGCGGGAAGAGACGCGTCGCCTCACGCGAAAGGCGAGCAGGCAGTGACGCGAATGACAGGCGGACTCTTGCTCAGGTCGGCCTGCGAGCGAGAGGCGAAATCGAGGTCAGGAATCGTCTCGTGACGACGACGATGAGGGAGAGGGAGAGAGGGCGACGCACAGAGACGACGACGGGCACGTGGTCGAGAGTCTTGATGAGCTGCGAGGCGTGGCCGTTCTCGGTCGAGACGCCGTTGAAGCGCAAGGGCGCGCGCTGCGAGTCGAAAAGGACAAAGTCAGGGAGAGTAGGGAGGACGGGCGACGAGCGAACTGGGGGCGCACCTGGCTGCTCTTCTTGTGCTGCTCCGTCTCGAGCACGCGCTTCTCGCGAGCGACGGAGCCGTTGCCGTGTGCGGCCTTGGTCGCCGAGCTCGCGCCCTCGTCCTCGTCCTCGTCGTCGTCGAACAGCGCCTGCTCGGCGTCGCCCTTGCCGCTGTCGGCCTCCATGAGCGACGAATGGTGCTTGGCGACCGAGCGCAGGCGCTGCAGGTGCTCGTCCTGGTTGGTCTCGGCGAGCCACGACAGGACGTCGACGCCCTTCTTCCAGAAGATTTGGAGCGTGTTCTCGCGCTCGTCGTGCAGGGTGCTCTGCGAGCAGGAGACGGGAGAACGTCAGGTCAGGTTCAAGGCAAGAAAGGGGGCACGAGAGAGGGGGGCGAGAGAGGAGAAATGCGAGGCGACGCACCTCGGTCGGCATCTGGTCGACGTGGACGCGCTTCTCGACGCCAAACTCGGACACGAGGACGTCGAACGCCTGGTCGAGGACGCCGATGACGGTGCCGTACCGGATGACGGGGCCGTAGCGCTTGGTGAGGTCGTCGATGAGGACGCACAGGAACAGGTGCTGCGACTGCTCCTGGGCCTGGCGCGCCGCGTCCTTCTTGATGTTGCACGTCGCGGCGACCTTGGACACGCTCTCGACGTCGAGCGGGAAGCGGGCGTCGAGGGGCGTGCCGGCGGCCTGGGCGGCGAGGACCGCCTCGAGCTGGCGGTGGACCATGACGTCGGCGTACCGGCGGATCGGCGACGTAAAGTGCGTGTACAGCGGGACGTTGAGGGCGTAGTGGCCGTACTTGGAGATGTCGAGCGTGCCCGTGCAGAAGTACTTGGCGCGCAGCATCGACCGGGTGCTGAGGTGCTGGAGCGTGAGGCGCTCCTCCGGGTCGGTCACCTGGGCGATCGACGCCATGAGCGAGCCCGACGACGACGAGTCGAGGTCGATGCCGAGGCTCTTCATGCGCGCGACGAACGCCTCGAGGCGGCGGTCGATCGGCGACTCGTGGCGGCGCAGGAGGGCCTGGTCCGGCAGGCCCGACGCGATCTTGCCGGCGACGGCGATGTTGGCCATGAGCATGTACTCCTCGATGAGCTCGTTGGCCTCCTTGCGCACCGCCTCGCGAGCGTCGATCGGCAGGCCAAACTCGTCGAGCGCGAACGAGACCTTGACGTTGTCGATGCGGAGCGCGCCGTTGGTGAAGCGGCGCGAGCGCAGGTGCTTGGCGATGCTGGCGAGCATCTTGACGTCGCCCTCGACGCCCTCGCGCAACTCGGCGTCGTCAATCTTGCCGTCGGGGAGCGAGCCCGTGTCGATGACGGCCTGGGCGTCCGAGTAGGCGAGCTTGACCTTCGAGCTGCGGGACAGAGCACAGGCTCGTCAGGATGCGCGCTCATGACGACGAGGGGCGAAAGGAGAGAGAGAGAGAGAGAAGGGACGCACTTGATGACCGTCTTGCCGAACCAGGTCGACACGACTTGGCCCTCGGGCGACATGGTGAAGATGACCGAGAACGTGAGCTTGTCGGACCCGGCGTTGAGCGAGCACAGCTCCTCGGACAGGGTCGGCGGGAGCATGGGCACGGCGCGCTGCACGAGGTAGACGGTCGTCGCGCGCTTGCGGGCCTCGCGGTCGAGGGGCGTGTTGGGCTGCGAGTGGGTGGGTGGGGGGAAGGTCAGGCTCAGGGTCCGGGCGAGGCGAGACAAGGGAGGGAAGGAGCTCGGCGGCGGCGCACCTTGACAAAGTGCGACACGTCGGCGATGTGGACGCCGACCTCGTACGTGCCGTCGTCGTTCTTGACGACGTGCAGGGCGTCGTCGAGATCCTTGGCCGTCTCGGGGTCGATCGTGAAGACGCGGTGCTCGCGCAGGTCGCGGCGGACGTCGGGCTGCGTCTCGCGCTCGGGGATGGACCACGGCGTCGGCGGGAGGCACTTGGTGACGCTGTCGGCAAAGTCCTCGGCTGAGAAGTTGCAGTCCTTGAGGAGGGCGAGCGTCTCGGTCTCGATGTCGCCGATTGGGCCGAGCTCCTCGACGAGTTGGCCGAACGGGTGCAGCGACGTGATGGGCCAGCGCTTGATGCACGACACGAAGAGGCGGTCCTGGTACTTGTCCGGGTTGTCGACAAAGTCGGCCGGCGCCTGCTCGGTCGGGATGGCGATGAGGGGCACGCGCTTGTCGGTCGGGCGGAACCAGATGATCTTGGGCGCCATCTGGCGGTGCGGGTGGTGGCCGCCGCCGCGCAGGTCGACGCCCTCGCGCTCGCGGCGCTCGGCGTCCTGCTTCTGCTGCGTCGCGGCCGAGCTCGGGCGCAGGACGCCGAGCGTGCCGCTGAAGAGCTGGCCCGGTGCGCGCTCGAGGACGGCGACGACGTGGCCGGCGAACTGCGGCTTCTGCTCGTCGGTCACCTCCTCCTCCTCGAACAGGAGGAGCCCTTGGCCCTCGACCTCGACGTCGTCCTTCTTCTTGTCCTGCTTGCGCAGGTCGCGCGCCGTGCGCGGGTCGAACGACGCCTGCTCCTCCTTCTTGCGCTTCTTCTCCTCCTTGTCCTTCTTGGTGCCCCACACGTCGTCCGGGTCGAGGAGCTCGACGGCGACAATGTCGCCCTCGAGGGCGCGGTTGCGGTCCTTGGACCCGCAGATGAAGATGTCGGTGTCGAGGACGTCGGTCGCGACGTAGGCGTCGCTGCGGTTGCGCTTGTTGACGCGGAGCGTGCCGATGACGAGCTTGCCGGCGGCGAGCAGGGGAGGGATGCTCGCCTGCGGGAGGTACGGCGCAAAGAGCGTCTTGCGCATCTGCGAGTTGTGCCCGCCGGGACCGCCGCCGCCGCCGCCACCGCCGCCGTACGGACCCATGCCCGGCTGCGGAATGCCGCCGCCGTAGCCCGCCATGGCGAGCTGGCCGGGCCCGCCCTGGCCGCCGGGGCCGATCGCGCTCATGCCGAACGACGGGACGCGACCGTGACCGGCCGACGCACGGTAGGCGCCGAGCGCCTGGAGGTGCGCCTGCGCCTCGGCGAGGTTGGCTGTGCCGTTCTGGGCTGCAGGCGAGGAGGGACGAGGAGGTCAGGGCGTCGTCCAGGAAAAGGGGCGCGAGAGAGAGAGAGAGAGAGAGAGGGACGACGAGGACGCACCGATGGTCGCGCTCCACCCTTGGCTCGCCATGCTCCCGCTCGTCCGACGCTGGTGGCCCATCTGCCGGCCCTGGCTTGGGCTGTCGTTGCCGCTGCCGTACTCGTCCTCGAGGCCGGCGCCGTACCCGCCGCCCATGCCGCCGCCGCCGTACCGCTGCTGCTGCGGCGTGCCCTGCTGGCCCTGGGGCGGGCCGACGCCGACACCGGCGCCGGCGCGAGGCGGGAACTGGAAGCCGCCGCCGAAGCCGGACCCGGCCTGCTGCTGCTGCTGCTGCGACGGCGGCGGGACGATGCCCTGACCGGCGGCGTTCTGGGCCGACAGGCGACGAGCGTGACCCCTCGCGGCGGGCGACGACGAGTCGCCGGCGCCGGCGGACGCGCCGGCCGGGAACGAGAACTGGCCCATGGCGCCCGACGGCTGGCGCTGGTGGCCCGCCTGGCCGGCCGGGCCCGACGTGCTCGAGACGCGGCGGTGTTGGCCGGACGGGCCCGAAGGAGGCGGAGCCTGCTGCTGCTGCTGCTGCTGCTGGCCGACGCCGGGCGGCGGCTGCGACAGGAGGTTGGCCTGCATGTCGCCGAAGCGGGCCATGAGGCTCTCCTGTTGGAGCTTGAGGCTCGCGAGCTGCTGCTGGATGGCGAGCTGCTCGGCGATGAGCTCGCCCGCCTCGGTGCCGGCGCCGCCGAGCGCGAGACCGGCAGCGGCGACGGCCGGGTTCATGCCGGCGGCGAGCTGCGCGAGCTGGAACTGCTGCTGCTGGAGCGCGAGGGCCTGCTGCTGGGCCTGCTGCTGGGCCTGCTGCTGCTGCTGAGGCGAGTACGGGTAGGCGGCGCCGAAGCCGGGCATGTCGTGCGAGGGCGCGCCGGCTTGACCGGGCGGCGAGTACGGCGTGTTGGTCATGAGGTCGAAGCGCGACGCCGTCGGCGTGACGAGGCCCTCGTTGATGTCGCTGATGACGCCGAGCGAGCCCGGGTGGAAGCCGCCGGCGTTCGGGTTGAGCGCCGAGGGGGCGAGCTGCGGCGCCGAAGAGGGCGGCGGCGCGTTGATGGCGGGCGGGACCTGGCCCGACGACGGCGTCTTGCGGTGGTGGGCGCCGCCGCTGCGCGAGCGAGCGGGAGACGACGAGGGCGAGCCGTGGGCGGCGCCGACGCCGGCGGAGCTCGAGTGCGGGCCGTCCTGGCGCATGTCCGAGATGAGGTTCTTGAGGTTCGACAGGCTCTCGTTGGTCGACGGGTTGTTGCGGTGCTGCGACTGATACTGCTGGTTCGACTGGGCGCCGCCGCTGTTGCGCCGGTTGCCGCCGCTGCCGCCGCCCTGGGACCCTCCGCCGCGACTCGAGCGACGCTGGTGCTGCTGCTGCCCGCCGCCACCGCCGCCTTGACGACGGTCGCCGTGCTGAGGCTTGCGGTCGTCGGTCGGGGACACGTCGCCGCCGCTGTTGGCGTCGCCGCGCGAGTTGGAGCGGCGGTTGCCGCCCTGCTGGCGAGGGCGAGAGCCGGCCGAGGTGGCGGCAGCCTTCTTGGGCGGGTCGTCCTTCTTGTTGGGGTTGGCGGTGCTCGTGGTGGGCGCGGGTGCGGGCTTGTTCGAGTCGGCCGGGGACGACATGGCGATCCGAGGCGTCTAGAGCGGGGGTGGCTGGAACGGGAGGCGCGAGGATCGCGAGGTCAGTGCGGGAACGCGAGTGTGTGAGACGTGAGGTGCCACAGAGGTCTGTCGAGGGTACTGGCCGCGGCGCAGGTCCGCTCGGCGGGCTCTGAGCCGGGTACGGGTCGGGGACAGGGGGGACAAGGGGAAGCGAGACGGCGAGCTCACCTTGCGAGCTAGTGGTGGAGTGCGCGGTCGGCTAGTCGAGGGTGCGTGTCGGTGCGTGGTCGGGTGCAGGTGGAACGAGGTCGAGGCCGAGCAAAGACGGACGCGGGGACTGTGCGGCCGAATCGTGGCGAGGTGGAGCGACGCGGTGGGGGCGAGGTCGGCGAGGGGCGCAGGTGGGTGGGGCGGGGCAGGGGGATGGCAAGGTGAGCTGTGGGTCCCTGCTGGTGCTGCGCGCGGCCTCGCACGAGGGGAGGGACGAGGTGGGACGCACACTGGGAGATGACGACAGGGAGAGGGCGAGAAGGGGCCGCCCAGAGCTGGTGGACGCGGTGTGCGCGCGTGGGGTCGTGGTGCGAGGTCGTAGGTGCACTCTGCGCGAGACTTGGGAGCTCCACGAGAGGTGCGAGGTGAGGTGCAAGCCAGCGAAGGTCGGTCGCAGCTGAGCGGAGCGGGGCAGCAAGATCGAGGCGACCACGCCTCGCTCTGCGCTCGTTGGACTAGCTAGTGGCTGCGTGCGAGTATCTACTGCATCCGCTCACCACCCGAGCGCACCCGACTCGAGGAGCGAGTGACCGAACGCTCCTCCTCGCGCCGCTGTTCGCTCCCCTCTCCCTCTCGTCCACACCTGCTCCTGCATTCGACGCAGCTGCGCCTACTCGATAGGCAAGAGCCGGGCGGCCTCGCTGCTGGCGCGCCCACTGCAGCGCGTGCCGTCGTCGCACCGCCGCGACAGCACCTTCCCCGCACCGCCAGCTTTCTCCTCCTCGCCGCCGCTCCTACTCGACCACGACAGACGGTCTCGCGCACTCGCTCTCTCTGCCTGTGGTCCTCAACGCCCGCATCGCTGCCCCAGGCGTGCAACGTCAACGGCTTGCCGGGTCCTCGCCGTCGAGTGTGGAGACCCCTCGTTTGCTCTGGAGACGGCAACCCGTGGCAAAGCTGCACAGCGTGCTCGTGCTCGCCCTCGCTTGTGCTCCTGCTCTTCACTGCCAGCAACGACGACACCCACGACTCGAGCAACGCACGCCGCGGTCCACCTCGCCGCCCTCTCGCCCTCGGACCCTCTCTCCACCTCCGCCTCCTCGCCCGCCTCCCGCCTGCCCGACATGGCCGACCCGATCGCGTTCCCTCCCTTTCTCTCGTCGACCCCGTCCGCCTCGAGCAGCCGCTCGACCTCGCCCGCGTCCTCGTCGCGCTCGTCGTCCGCCCTCACCTTGAGCGGCGACACGCCCTGTCCCTCGCGCCCGCTCTCGATCCTCGAAAAGGACGAGTGGGACGCCCCTACCCGGGTCGGCTCGCCCGCACCATCCATCTGCGGGGACAAGAAGGGGGCGGCACTGGGCGACGCCGAGAAGGCCGGCGAGGAGCGCGAGGGCCCGAGCGCCGACGTCGACGAGTTCCCCGAGGGCGGGCTGCGCGCCTGGCTCTGCGTCGCCGGCAGCACGCTCGTCCTCCTCACGACGTTCGGCTTCTCCAACTCGTTCGGCGCGTTCATGAGCTACTACGCCACGGTGCGTCCTGCCCCGTCCTCCCTCTCTCGACGAGACGCAGTACTGACCCTCCATCGGCTCGCACGCAGCACCAGCTCGCCGCCTACACGACGAGTCAGATCAGCTGGATCGGCAGCGCGCACCTGTTCATCACGTTTTCGTGCGCGTTCGGCGCCGGCGTCCTGTTCGACCGCGGCTACTTCCGGTACCAACTCGCGCTCGGCACGGTCGGCTGGCTCGCCGGCATCTTTGGCCTGTCGTTCGCCGAGTCGTTCGCCACCATCTTCGTGTGCCAGGCCGTCATCATGGGCCTGTCGCTCGGCCTCTTCTTCTCGCCCTGCCTATCGATCCTCGGCACCTACTTTCGCCGCCGGCGCGCATTCGTCGTCGGCATCGCCGCGAGCGGTACCGCCATTGGCGCCGTCGTCTTCCCGGTCCTCCTCGGGCAGATGTTTGAGAAGAAGGGCTTTGCGTGGGCCGTCCGGGCAGGTGCGTCCTCCGTCAGCCTCGACCGTCGCCTTCTCTCTTCGTCGACCCGACACTGACCCCTTTGCCTCCTCTGCAGCCGGCTTCATGATGCTGGGCCTCCTCGTCATCGCCAACTGCATCATCCGGCCACGCAAGGTCAAGTCGCAGGCGCTCCCGTCGTCGCCGTCGCCGTCGCGCGCGCCCGCTCAGGCCTCGCTCGCGACCGCGCTGCGCAAGATCGTGCGCCAGCCCTCGGCGTGGCTCGTGTGCCTCGGCGTGTTTGGCGTCTACGTGTCGTGCTTCATCCCGCTGTTCTACGTCGGCCTCTTTGCGCGCGAGTACTCGGGCCCGGGCCCCATCGCCACCTACGCCGTGAGCCTTCTCTCCTCCCTCGTTCTCTCCCAGGCGCTCTCGAGGTCTTACTGACTCTCGCATACGCGTCTTGTCATGCAGCTCTCGATCATCAACGCCGTCGCCTTCTTTTCGCGCATCGGCTCGGGCCTCGTCGCCGACCGCCTCGGCACCTTCAACACGGCGATCCCGCTCGGCGCCCTCGTCGCCGTCCTCACGTTCGCCATGAGGGCCGCGACGTCAACGGCCGGCCTCGCTGTCTGGCTCGTCCTGTTCGGCTTCGCCCAGGGCGGGTGGATCTCCGTGTCGGCGGCGTGCTTCATGAGCCTGGCCGACAACGCCGGCGAGATTGGGTGCGTCCTCTTCTCCTCCTTCTCTCTCGCCGCCATCCTGGGTCGTCGTCGATACCAACACAAACTGACCGTCCCCCTCGCGTCGTCGTCTACAGCCTGCGCTCCGGCATCGGCTTCTTCTTTGTCGCCCTCGCGACCCTTATCGGCTCGCCCATCGCCGGCGCGCTCCTCGCCGCCACCGACGGCAGCTACGTCGCGGCGCTGTGCTTCGGCGGCGGCATGGCCGTCGCTGGGTGCGCGCTGCTCGTCCTCGGCCGGGCGACCCAGGTCAGGAGGCGCTCGAGCCAGTGGGTTTGAGCGAGACGGTTTCCCTTTGACTTAGATTCGTCTAGAGATCTGCTTTCCCTACAGCGTTAGACGCTTAGACTCTCGGGTCGTGCCGCCGTTGTACCTCCTTGTACCGCTCCCTTTTCGCACCCGCAGTCCTTCCTCGCACCTTGCATCGCAGTGATCCGTACCTCCTCCTTCCGCGCCAGCCTTGGAGAGTCTACGAGCGCCCCTGAGAGTGCGCGACGTGGCAAGGAAAGCTGTACGCCGGCTGGGAAAGCGCCTCGCTCGCTCGGCTCCTGCGCTCGAGCCTCCTCGAACCGTCTCGCCTTCCATTCTCTCGTCGACTCTGGCTCAGGCTCGACTGTTTCCAGGCCCGAGAGCTGAGGCGCGCTGTCCCGTGTAGCCTTGAGAGTACTTGAGCGGCGAGCCGAGACGGGCTTGCGTTTGAGAAGGTCAACCGCTTGCAAGCTCTCCTCGCTCGCTCTCGACGTCGCAAGACAGCTCTTGATCGCCATGTGCCCTTGTCGACAGTCTTCCAGAGAACGACGACGCAGCGACGAGCGCTGAGAGCACGATCCAATCTTGCTCTCTAGACGAGCTTCTCCTCTCGCTCGCTCTCACGGGCTGGTTGTCGAGGTAAGGGACACTTCCTTCATTGCGTTGTAGACAGAGCCTGTACACTCCTCGATGTGCTCCCCTCCCAACCGCCACCACCTCGTCATGCTGCCGACTCGCGGCTGTAACTTTGACCGCGCCAAAACCCCGGGCGAGCCGTCTAGAGGACCGAGGTCGAGGGCCAGCTGCGGGTGTACGTGCGAGAGGGTCTCAGTATCGTGCGCATAGACGGTCGAGGCGGACGAGAGGGCGAGAGGAGGATTGGGATTGGGAGAGGGCGGGAGGGAGAGTAGAAAGGAGGGGAGGACGCACCTGTACGGCGCCTCGCTGCGCTCGTAGCCGACCTTGGACCGCCTGAACTCGTCGAACTCGTCGGGAGCCCTCGCGCCGTACGCGTACTCCTTGGGCTTGGGCTTCTCGTCTGCGGGAGAAGTCCAGAGTCGGTGAGTGAGGGCCGGGATGGAGGAGGATGAGGTGGCGGGGACGCACTGTCGATCCAGTGCAGCAGCGGCGTGAAGAGCTTCCAGGCGATGTCGAGCTCGTCGTCGCGGACAAAGTTCGAGTGGTCGCCCTTGAACGCGTCGAGGATGAGGGCCCTGCTCGGGGGAAGAAACTGGGTGAGCCCGACGTCCTCGACGACGGCGACGACGATGCCGCTCGGGAGACAGAGGAAGACAGTGCGACGCACTCGTACGCCTCTGGGATCTTGAGGTCGGAGAAGCGGCGCTTGTAGGTGAGGTCCATCTCGGTCGGGACGGTGCGCATGGCGAGGCCGGGCGCCTTCGAGTTCATCTTGAGGTAGACGGCCTCGTTGGGCTGGACGCGGATGACGAGCTCGTTGCGCGTGATCTCCTTGAAGATGCCCTGCGTCACGTCCTTGTACTGGATGCGGACCTCGGCCTTCTGCTCGTTGAGGGCCTTGCCGGCCTTGAGGATGAAGGGGACGCCCTCCCACCTCGGCGAGTTGATGTGGACGACGCACGCGGCGAACGTCGGGCAGATCGAGCCCTTGGGCACCGTCTCGTCGTCGAGGTAACCCGGCTTGTCGTCCTTGGCGACGTACTGGCCGAGGAGGACGTCCTCGGGCTTGATCTCGGGGATGTAGCGCAGGACCTTGACCTGTCGGCGGGCGGCTCGTCAGGGCATTGTTCTTTCAGAGAGGGGAGAGGGGAGAGGCAGGGCGCACCTTCTCGTCGCGAATGTCCTCGGCCGAGAACGACACGGGGCGCTCCATGGTGAGGATCGAGAGGACCTGGAGCAAGTCTGTCGTCGGCGGCCTCAAAGAGTGTCAGTTCTCGCGAACGTCAGGCGGACGAGAGACGAGAGAGAGCGCGGGACGCACGGTTCTGCATGACGTCGCGGATGATGCCGAACTCGTCGAAGTAGCCGCCGCGGCCCTCGGTGCCGAACGGCTCCTTGAAGGTGATCTGGACGTTCGAGATGAGGTTCTTGTTGAACGAGGCGTCGAGCATGACGTTGGCGAAGCGCAGGACGAGCAGGTTCTTGACCATCTCCTTGCCGAGGTAGTGGTCGATGCGGAAGATCTGCGGCGCGACGAGGCGGCAAGAGGTGCAGGTGTCAGTCACCGTGGCCGGGCGCGATACGTGCCGGCCGTCCAGGAGCAAAGTCCCGCACACGACCGAGAGGACGAGGGGCGCGGGCGAGAGCGGACGCACCTCCTCCTCCTTCCACTCCTTCTTGAGGCCGACCTGCATCTCGCGCGACGACTCGAGGTCCTTGCCGAACGGCTTCTCGACGATGATGCGGTTGATGCCGCCCTCGGAGTAGTTGTGCTTCTTGAAGTTGGCGGCGACGACGGTAAAGACGCTCGGCGGGAGCGCCATGTAGAAGACGCGGTTCTTGGGCGCGTCCTTGTCCGAGTACGACTCCTCGCACTTCTTGAGCTCCTTCTCGAGGTCCTCGAACCCGCCGTCCTCGTCGTACTGACCCGAGACGTAGGTGCAGATCTTGAGGAACTCCTCGAGCTTCTTCTTCATGGCCGGGATCGGCGCCTTGATGTACTGCGACACGCGCTTGTGGTAGTCCTGCAGGGTGAAAACGGCGTGTCAGTCATCGGGTGCGAGTGTGTGCGCTGTGCTGGATCGTCGACTCGTCGTCCTCCTCCACCTCGGCCCCCGCACCTCGTCCTTCTCAAGCGCGACCTCGACCGGGCGCGACGGTGTTCGTGGCGCCTGATGCAAGATCGCACGCTGCCGTCATGCGCTCGACGCCGTCGCCGTGCACGCTGATGCGCTGCTGGCCCCGATCCAGCCGACAGTCGTCCAGGCCCCACACTGCAAGATCTCCCTCGCCGACCCGCGTTCGGCATAGAGACGAGAGAGAGAGAGGGGGCGCACCTCCTCGTCCATCTTGGTGCGGGCATAGCCGACGATGCGGATGCCGTCCGGGAGGAAGCCGTTGTTGTAGAGGCCGAACAGGGCCGGGAAGGTCTGTCGACGGCGGGGGAGGGGGAGGGAGAGAGGGCGCGAACGAGGGCAGGGGGAGCAACGCGGTCAGTACAGGGACGGTGTACGAGGGACTGAGAGTGCGCAGGGCGGGGCGCAAGCGCGATCAGGGTCGAGCATCGCTGGCGGAGTGCCTCGGTTGCCTCGCTCCGCTCGCTGGGAGACGAGCCGATGCGTCATGCTCCTCTCGCCCGCCCTTGCTCGCGGCGGACGGCTCGACAAGGCAGGGAGGGAACGGCCAGGCGCACCTTCTTCTTGGCCAGGTCGCCCGAAGCGCCCGCGACCGTGATGACCGTGTTGTTCTTGAGCTGCGCCGAGTCCGAGTTGTGGCCGCCGACGACGGCGCCCGTCTTGTTCTCGTTGGGGACGCTCATGGTGAGTCGGGCGAGGGAGGGTGGGTGTTGGAGCGGGTGGGTCTCTGTAGCTGGATCCTGAGACGAGGGGAGATGGGGAGGAGGAGGGCGAGAGGCTGGCGTGACGCGGACCGACTGTCCGAGGGCCGGCCGCGGCCCTCTCCTCGGCCACCCCCTGTGCGCTCCTGGTCGAGGCTAGCCTCCTCGACGACAGTATGACTGTGCTATCGAACCAGCCGCTGCGCCCGCCGAGAGAGCGCGCGAAAGGTGCGACAAGCGGTCCGCGCACCGAGCAGCCGAGCGAGCGCCAGCACCGGCTCGCCTTTCTCTCTGGCTGCTCGCGCTCTCGAGTGCGACCAAGGGAGCGAACAGCCCTGCACTGCATCGGCTCGCCTCACCGCTCGACCCGCTCGCCCTGTCCACCCGCAGCCGCGGCAGTAGCGAGTCGCCGCGCCTCCTTCTTGACCTCGCCGTCGGGCGACATCCACCGCCACACCGGGAACGCGATCTGCTCTCGAGAGGGGCAGGAGGGTGTGCAAAAGAGTCAGGCGGCGCCGGGAGAGGCAGAGGGCAATACAAGGGGGGTGCGCCGCAAGGCTGCCATGGGGAGGAAGAGCGAGTCGAGGGACGTACCGTGCCGACGAGGTGCCAGAAGGCGTCGCCGAGGACGTTGTTCCTCGGCGTGATGGCGCGCGAGTTGCGCAGCATGTGGCCGACGGGCTCGTACGTGATGTAGAAGTCGCCTCGCTCGAGGCCTGCGTGCGGCGAGGGCGACGAGAGGGGGCACACGGCGTGAGTCAGTCAGGTGCACGCTTCGAGGGCAATGAGAGGGAACAGTCGGGCGCACCTTTGATGAGCTCCTTGGCGACAGCGTCGGGCGACAAGCCCTCGTCCGGGCCCTCGATCTTCTTGGTCAGGGCGGGCTTGAGGCGCTGCTCGTTCTCGAACCCGGGCGAGAGGATGGTCGCCGGGAGGAACAGGTGGACCGAGATGCCGTACAGGAGGAGCTCGTTGCGGAGCGCCTCGGCGAGACCTGGGTGGGGCGCGCGAGGGGTCAGTCGGCGGTCCCAGCGGGAGCGCGCACGAGAGGAAGGGAGAGAGGGGGACGCACCGCGGATGGCGTACTTGCTCGGCGAGTAGCTCGAGTAGCCCGTGAAGCTCATGAGGGCGAGGACCGAGCTCGTCAGGACGACGCTGCGCTTGCGGCCCGCCGCGCTCGGCCCGGCCGCCTTCATGGCGCGCACGCCCTCGTGGACCGTGTTGAGGCAAGTGCGGAAGTTCCACTCCATGCAGCGCCAGTGCTCGTCGGCGCCCATGTCGGCAAACAGGCACGGGACGGCACCGCCGGCGCACGCGAAGAGCGAGTCGGGTGCGGCGCCGCCGTGGGCGGCACACGCCGAGCGCAGGGTCGAGGCGGCGGCGGACGGGTCGGTGAGGTCACAGGCAAAGGCTTGGAGGATCTGGGACGGGGATTGGCGGTGCGTCTGTGCGAGGGTCGAGCGGGTCAGGCGAGGGCATGCGACGAGTCGGGGAGGAGGGGAGCGAGAGGGGCGCACCTTGACGAGCGCGAGGGCCTTGTCGAGCTTGGCCTGACTCCTCGAGACGATGGTGACGTGAGCGCCGCGCTGTGCGAGCTGGCACGCGAAGC